GATATTTGATACCTAAATATCGATTGAAGACGAAGCGTCCCCTTGTGGTCAACGTTGGGGTCTAAACCGTTCAGCTGATTTTCTTTAAAAATGATGTTCCCTGATCGATTTTAATAAACTCGGTACCCTGTGAGTTTGAAATGGATATTCTGATTTTTTGTTTTTTTTTTATATGAAACTTCGCAATATTTTCAAACTTTTCTCAAAAATGGCTCAATATTTTTTTGATTAAACTTTGTTCTCGGATAGGTAAAGGACACTTACGAGAATGATGAAGATATCAATTTTACTGCATATACGTACATATAAGAGATACTAATGTACGATTGCAACGATCGTAGACGAGTGATGGAGTTTCCACAAGGAATAACGCATAGCGAAAGTTTCAAATTCTTTCGTAAATAGCCGATAACCGTTGAAAAATGAAACTATCACTTAGATTGACCGATTGATTGATTGTTTACTGTTTTCGGGCGTGTCAACGGTGAAGGTCATATGTCCTGTAAGTTTAATGCACATTTTGTCGCGACAGGTGGCGGTAACCTGCCCGCGTTGATGGTGAGAACCGATACCGACCTACAAGTTGTCTTTCAGGTATCTCCCTCCAGCCTATCACTTTAACTTTAAGAAAAGTTATAATAATAAAAGTTCTAAACTATAGAGCGGGAACTTCTTATCTAAACAATGATAGACGGAAAAACGACGCTGGAGTTTCCTCACGTTGACCTTCCCCATTGGCACGTGACTGTTAATTCTGCGCTAAATCGTTTCATTTGTGCCACCATGCGCTCCCGTGTGCAGATGATCAATGTTTTTAGAAAGGAGTGCTTAGTGGACTCTCATCGCCGATCCAACTGTCGAATGCCAGGCAACAGATCCGTGTGGAAGAGAGACGGTTCTGAGAGTTGGGTAGACGCAGTGTGCGGCATGAATGGTTTTGCAGAACTGAGTCCGTACCTATTAACTAAATTAAGAACATCGATCCTTTCATCTACTTTTCGTAAATTACCATTTTATTTTCAACAAATATTGCAAAAGATGTCCATTTTTGTGAGCAAACGTGTATCATCAGTTATCAACGTTAAAGTTGTCTTTGACAAGGATATAATTCCCGCAGCTTGCAAACATTTCGCGCATTAGATGTTGCTTTTTTTATCTCTCGTTCAAGTTTTTTCTGAAAAGACAAAAAAGAGATGGACACGTCATCCCTCATAATTTACTACACACCGGCGCCAGTGGTTTCATATCATCCTCGACGACCGTCTGTAGACAGTTAAGAAGGAGTAAATATCGAAAATCCATTGAATTTCGTTAAAATGATAGTTCTACGTCTTTTTAATTGATCTTCATAAGCAAATCACGGCCTCCTCTGAGACTATTATCGCAACCTTTCATGTTTGACAGTTTCTTATTAATCTCCGCAATAACAATAATATGAAGTGTAATGAGTAGACATGGGATTTTAGGACAAATGCCTTTTCAGTTCCTTTAGGAACTTGTGAAAAATAATTGCAGATATTTACAAATCATTGAAAACGTAAATCTTCTGAAAGCACAATAGTTCCTAATATGTTCTAAAAGGGGCGTGCCTAATATGCTATAAAAGGCTATAAAATGTTGATGCCTAATTATTATATTTTAATTACACGTTTCTCAATTTTGTTATGCTTGATCGCAAATACTTTTCCGAATTTCTCGAAACGCGAATATTTCCCGATCAACCAGCAATCGACTACGCACCGAGATCTCTCATTCAACACACCGTACATAAAGACCTCTGCAAGTCAAAATAAAGAGGATGTTTCACGCTTGTCTCAGTTTACCATGCACTTAGAAAATTGCACCCATTCCCAGTGCAGCTGAGCTGGTGACAGGTTGAAAATGAAAGCTGTGAAAAAATGAATGAAATAAAAAGAAATTAGAGTGAATAAAATAATATGCTTGTAGTCACTTTCATAAATGTATAAATACTTGACTTTCCTATATAATAAAAAGTGCCTAATTTAATGTTTTGTGATCAGTTTTATCTGTCGATTATAACATTTCAAGTCTACTGTTTGTTAAATGCCTGATTTACTGAATTTGTAACATATTTTAAGTGCTTAAAATGTCTCTTTTCATTCCTAATAGTGCCTAATTTCATAATTTTCGTTACCTATTTTAGGTGCGTAATTCATCACTTTTTTGGGCCTAAAATACTGAGGTCTAGTTATGAGGCGACAATAAGATATCAGACTCCATCAGACATCACTCATGGCCGTATGTCCCAGCTGCTAAAACAGATAACGTTGTCATTAAGTATTGAATTCGCGAATGATCGAAAATCAAATGGAAACACTAATTAATGGACATTGTAACATTATAGTAACAACGAAATTAATTTGCAAATCACGAAACATAAAAGTCTAAGCTTGTGTCGTGAGAAACTTTCCATTTCTCAAGTTACTTAATGCGGTAGTGTCGCTATTATCAACTACGTCGTAGTGAGAGTAAAGAGTGATTGTGGGAAAGCACATATGGTGCAAAATAACGTGTCGGTTATCGTAGGAGTCAATCAAGAGGTGTATTTTGTAGTAGGCAGTGCTAATTATGCGTCCCGAGCTTGTTTTGAACTCTAGGAACGCGAGGAAAAGTTGTGTGTGAAAAATCAATTATGCATCACATATGCTGAGTGTACTCAAGCTTGTAGAGTCCTAAAGAATATTATTCTGTGGGTTCAATTGATTGGTTCTTTTAGTTCATACAATTTACGACAAACGCCCCAGAGCCTTAGGAGTATAAATACGTAAAGGAGAATCGTATTTTTACTTTCTCACATACTACTTGCGTAGTATCGCCTTTGGTGACTCGTTGGTTCGCGTGCTCGCTTTCCACGGCGCAACCCCGGGTTCGATTCCCGGCCAGGTAATTACAACTGTGCGCTTTCCTAACAAATTATCTGTTGCTGTGCGACGATGAGAAAGTCCATCTTAAGGTTATGAAGACCAGTATATACGGGGAAGGGATGTCTTCGCGCTAACCACACGAACCCCTTATCCCATGGCCGAGAGGCTGGGTCACCGCTGGTCGGCCAAGGCCCGTATCAGACTGTCGAGCCAAAGGACAGGACAAGGGCTTGCGAACTACGAAAGTTACGCAAGAGAAAAACCTCTTGTTCCGACATGTAGTAAATACTTCCTCTAACACGCTGTGTAGATAGAATTCACGGTTCGTAGATCTTTTGAGACCGAAAAAATGGTTTACAGCCAAACTTCTTTGTCTGCCAACGCTGGTAGGCAAACAAAATTGAGGACATCTTCAAATTGTTCTAAAAAATAGTTTCAAATTTTCGGATTATTTTTTTTCTCGGCTAGAACAAAGTAAGCATATAAAAATGGAGAAAACTTCATTTTCTTTGCATTCCTTGAATTTTCGGAAATTGCATAACTTTAAATGTTTCTGTAACTATGAAATCTGTTCTTACAAATTAGATCAATAAACGAGGTTGTAAACATTTGCTTCACAATATGAGCAATTTTCGTAAAATTTCGCGTGTAATCAAAGGCTTTAAACATACAAGATTTTCTCTGCCCGAAAACGGCTCAATTTTTTTCTTTAAACTTTTTGTTCGGATAGTGCTAAATAAACTGAATAACATAACATACACACACTATTGATGTTTTTTTTTAAAAAACCTCCACAAATGTATTTCTTTATATATCTTCACGTAATATTTACCCTTCTGGTGTTTTTATAAATTATTGCATTTGTCAGTGCGAGAGCTTGATGTGATTTCTGGTGACTTAAACTATTTGTGACTAAGAGATACGTTAAAAAAGCATTTCAGATCGCTCGAAAGGTATATTTTTCTAGGAAGGCTCCCGATTGTTTTCAATGAAAATTTTATTGAAGGGCCATGTCTTATTCTTCTGTAATATTCTTGAAGTTTCATTTCAATTCTTCTCTTAAGATACCGAACATTTGAAAAAAATGTGATATTTTAGGTGCCGGTAAGTGTCAGGTGGGGAAAGTGTGGGGCAATGTCAAAAATGTAACGTAGTCTAAATTGCTAAATAGTGCGAGAAAGTCTGATCCCTTCTGTATCAGTTGTAGTTATCATAGATAATATATGTTTATGTTAGATATTAACAATTAGTCTCAGAAAGTAATGTTTGAAAATTGCACATAAGATTATAAAAGAGAATAAAATGTTGTAGAAAAGACTGAATTCAATTCTCTATTACTCTAAAAGACTTTGTGTACTTTCTACACATCGACGAGTGAAAACGTCGTGCAGTGTGGTCAAACCCCATGCCTGATTGAGAGCCTTCGTCCTGTGTTTGGTCAATAAAACAAAAACTTAAATAATGAAGGGGACTGAGACATCATTTCTCAATCGGAATTTTACTTACTTGAACAAATTTAAAAAATGTCCATGGTTATATTTTTCTGATGATATAAATATCATGAAGAAAACCGTCATATATATTTTATTTCATAAAGATACATTACACACGAGTCAAAATAATACAAAATATCCAAATATTAACATTAATAAAAAATTTAAATTCAAACTGAGGTTTGAATAGCAAACCTCATTTAATACTCAGAAGCAAACAGAACCATCTCACTTTTTTACTCTCAGAATTGTTAAAAATCTGGGTAAAACCAAAGACTTAGATGAATTAGCAACAATTAACTTACATCAATCGATATATTTTGAATTTTATTATCTGAGTTATAGTTTTTCTTTCTCTTCCAGGATCAATAACGAATTTTCCCAAGAATCCAAATTCCGGACAATTATTCTTCTCGTCTGGAGACATACTAATAATGTTCGTTAATGAATTCGAAAAAAAAGTACCAGAATCCAAAACAAAAGTTTTGAAATCTACATTTACAAAAATATAGATAACCTTTGCTATTCATTATATAAAAAATGTGTTTCCATATTTATAATTACAAACTATTTTTGCATGCGATGCGGAAAAAACTTCAGATCCATATTTGCTAAACGTTTTGATTTGTTAATTTAAAAAAAATGATATTTCAATTGTAGTGTTCAGTGTAGTAGTAATAATACTAATAAATTGAGATAGTTAAGGGAATGTGGTAATTGTTACAAAACTGGCCGCTTTGGGTTTTTGTCTGGAAGCAAGTAAAAAAATTTCTTGATTTTTATCTCTTCAATTGTAACAAATCAGAAGTCAAAACAAAGTGGAAAAGTAATTACCATCAAATAAAATTATTTTAATATCCCATCACGTTTACACGACACGGTTACCAGAAACTATGTATTCCTTTGTACCCCATGTGGAGGTAGAAGAGAGCAAAAGTAGGGAGAAAACAAAGATTTTGGTAACAAAATATGCAGGTTTTATCACACACAAATCTGAATTTTTAACCAATATCTATGGAATTTGGGGTAATTGTTGCATTAAATTAATTGCAAAAATACAAAAATTTCTTTTAACTAGGATACTTTTCTCTTTCACACTACTGTAATGATTAAAATTTACAAAACATCACGATTCAGTTTAAAATATTAATATAAGTGTTTCTATAACAAAACACACAAGAAATTTGCAAATGAAATCTGAGCAATTCTGTGAAAAATGCAACACTGGACACCCCTAATCCTACAGTTAAAACAATAAGAGAAGCCGAAAACTGGTCCAAAGTCATTGCCTGAGGTTCGCTTCTCTGTGAGCTACTTGGAATCAAAACACCTTGCGCGGTAAGTTGGTTTCGTTCTCTAATAGCTCTTAGACCGTACAATCCGCCCTCTAAAACTCTCATTGTAAACTGATTTAAAACATCATATTCTGGAATATTCTTCGTCACAGGGTAACCGACATTTCCGGGCGTTATCATACATTCTGGAACTTGATAAAGCAGATGTTTCCCATTGCTTGTCAAATTCTTATACATCATGTATTGCAAATAACGGTCGTGAGTAAGAAGATATGCATCATTCCTTGATTGCACTATACTGTGTAGACGGGTTAGGAGATCAGTGTCGACGGAAAACTTTAGAAGAAACTTTCTCATGGCATCGCTGGCGTCTTCGTTTCCCATTACAAAATTATAATCTTTATCGGAATAAAGATGCCGTGTTGCGCTTACAGCCTCGTCTAATGTTCCAGGATTGTCGTAATGCGGTGGGGCAGCGAAAAATCCAAGCAGTTGCCCTGAATACGCATTGGTTAACACCATTGTGATCAGTACAATAACTTGTAGAAACAGTCGTTGACCAAAAGTATTAGCTTGTTGGGTGCACACTCCATTTAACAGAATCTGAAAAGAGAATATTCATATTTAATTTCATATAGTCATGAATATTGGTTTGAAAAACGAAATACGTTGTAAATATTCCAGAAAAAGCAGTTAGAGTATCATCAATTAAAGATTCGGCCAAAAGTTGGAAGAGTACAAAAACGCTCCTGATATCACGTATAGAAACTGGAACTATTTTTGGAGTGTAAATAACGCATTGAAATTTAAATCTTTTCATATTCTCCAAATTCATAAAATATTTTATCCATTAAACAATAGCTTCAAATTTCGAGAAAAGTTTTAAATAATTAAGCAAATATTTAATCATAGTTTTTATTTCGATCACACCATTAGTCATTTATTTAGTTTGTTAAGTACACACATTTTCATAATAAACTTTACCTAACTACATTTATCGATTAATTTATAAGTGATTCCAGGTGAGTCAGTGGCTAAGGTAATTATTCCCGTAACTATAGTGCATGTATTTATCGGGGAGGTGACGGTGATCTTCCCGCCTTGATCTACGTCGGCTTGCGAGGATTTTCTTCAACCAGGTATCTCTCACAACCGTGGAATCGCCCAACTGAGACATGCTCAAAGCTCCCTACTGGTCGCCCAACATGTGGTAGTGAAGTGCATGGCAGTGTACGTGTGTAAGTAAGGGGTTAAGATAGAGCAAGGAAGAGGAAGGAAAGATCGTGTATGATCCATGGCCCGTTTGTTTGGGTACAGCTTGGGTAGTCGCCTGGTGTTGATCGGCGAAACCACTACCGATCAGAGAAGCCGGTCGCTAGGATTTTCCTCCAGACAGAGGCTGAACTCGATCCAGCGATCTAGTGTTGAAAACTCTGCCACCGTCGAGATTCGAACCCAAGGATCTCGCGGTCAGAGGCACTACAGTGACATCAGTTAATGACCTGAGCCACCTTTTCCGAGTCTCTCTCTTTTCAAAATGATTGCGTATCTGCTCTTTTGAAAAGGAAATCAATGTTACTTTTATTTTGAAAGAATAACATCTAATGCAAATAAAACATTTTTTTCACTATTACCTGAATCATATCAAACACAGATCGCCACAGCCCATGATGTGTTCGGCGTCTTCCAGGATCGCCTTGAACACTGTGAAGAACGTGCCAAATTAATGAACAGAAAAGAAACGTGATACCAATGCAGAGCCAGGTGAATGGCTGGTAAGGAAGCCTTAGTACAACAGTAAAAGGCATGTTGGGAGCCCGTCGTAGCAAAACGCACAAGGGATTTTGTGCGAGAGGAACTGTGAAGTCTACAGTCTCGAATCTTTTCGCAGTCATCACATATAAATGAAATCGGGTGTTCACTGATCCATTTGCAATCTCTGTTAATATCACATTAGGGTGCGTATGAAAGGATCTTTCAACAGTTTTTATTTTCCAACCTGTAAATTTCTTAAACCAACTAATTAGTTCTGAATCGATACCTGAAGATATTACAAAACGTTTGGCTTGTTTTGAGCTATCTGTTTTTGGTGACCAATTAAATATCATCGGTATTTCAAAATATTTTAAACAGTATTTCGGAAATAAAACACTCTGCGTAATTGCATTTAGCGTCTGTGTTCTTTCTTCGATATCCGGACATCTAAGTTGAAGTAATAAATATTTTTCGGGGGCTTTGAAGTGTCTTTTTACGATGAAAGAAATGTTTGTGATTCTTGAACACTCATTGTCCACAGTACAGTATATTCTGTCATCAACCTTTCCTTTGTTCTGTGAACTCCATCTTTCTTCAAAATATTTTAGAATTTTTGGAATGACCGAATGTACGATTCGCGAATCATTTAGAACAACGCTTCCGTCGCATTTGGGCAAGATTCGAATGAGGAAAGCTGGACGAGAAATATGATCTGTGGTCCCATTGGTGATAATAATAGAATAAGCAGATTTTACATGCAGTGTCCACAAAAAGCTCTGAGGGGTGATGGACATCCATTTTAAAGAACTCTTATCATCAAAAAGGTGAGATTCGTTTTTTGTAAGGTTTGTACAAGTTAGCTGATCTTGTGCAAGTGCTGTTTTGTATAACTCTGTGCACTCAGAAATGTTGTGTATTACTCTACAACCATATCCAGCTCCAAAATGTTCATGTGCTGTAACACTTGCCAAATAGAGAGAAGTGACAACAGATAGTAACAAATTATATGTAAACATCTTAAAAAAGTTAGTAGTGCATTTCTTATCACAACTTCTTCGATCATGGAGGATCCAAATACTTTCCTCCTAAAATTGTTGATGTGGATGTTCTTAAAATATATAACTTAAATAATACTATGTGTTTCCTTAAGATAACACAAAAAGATACACACAAACACAATCGTTCTCACAAATTTGCGTCTGTTCAAAGTTAATTCACAACTCTTGTTGTCTGTGAGGCTCTGTTTGTGACTGAGCTGATAATTAATGCGCTGTGGTTGAGCACAATTGCTCATTGTTCGATTTAGTGACAAGAGTTGGACGTCATGTGATGTTTATACACACGTTTTAAACAGCGAGGTAGACATTGATTTTCCATCACCGCGTCAAGTTTTGAGGGCCTTGGTTGGTTTGTTACTATGAATTTATAACTTATGTTACTTGTTCTGATATTTAAGCAGAGTTCACACTACACTTTCAATTTTATTCCCTTTCACTATATTTCAGTAAAAGCCACAACAAAATGTACTTTTGAGAATGACTTTTGATTTTGCATTCTTTGCAGGGATTCTGTAATAACACATTACCTTTTAATTTGATCGAGATCGATTTTCTGATAGTGGGAAAGTAAGCAAAGCAGAAGAAACGTTTTTTAAATATTGTATCACGGTATTTCTTCAGATAAACGAGAAGAAATACCTCAATGTATTTACATCAATTTGTTGTTTTAGAAGATATGAGCAATTGAATACATTATTATTCTTTTTCGTCCAAAGTATTTCACGAAACTATTTTTCAGAAAATTACTATTTACTTTTACTTTCTCGATCTTACGACTGTAATAAACAAAAGTATTGGAATCGTGCGACGTAAATTGGCGATTTTTCGATCTAAAACTCTTACTGTCGGCCCTCGGTAACGAAAAAGTAGATACATTCACTTTTTGGATATAGTAAATAACTTTAATATTATTAAAAAAACATTTTCTTCATTTTTTCACGAATAGAAGAAGAAACACTTAAAAGGATGGAAGGGATCTCATGTTCTTTGAACGCTAAACATTTTCGAAAATAACCAATTTAGAAATATTGTGAGAAAGTCTTTGCTATGTTTAGCACCACTGGTTTTTTCACGTATTATGCCATTAAATTTCAACACAATGAGAATTTTATAAACAAAAAAACACTAAATGTTTTGTTCAAAGGTACTATTCAAAATTTTCTGGCGCCTGTCCTTTTTTTTACATTTCCGTGTACGGAGTAATAGACGTTATGAAACGTTGCGGAAAATCAATTTGAAGATTTGAGCAGAAATACACGATTTGGGGTCTCCTTTTACAGAAAAAGTTTTTTATCAATTGATTTATCCGTCCGTCCATCGGATCGGTTTGAGTCGAATCTTTGAGATTTTTAAAATTTCCTTCAAAATTTGAAGAAACTTCACATGAGGTCTCACGAACATTCTCAAAATTTTCTGAGAAACGACTCCAAATTTTATCTTTGAATTTCTTGAAAGAATGGAAAATACACGTATAAAGGTTTCATGGGTGCGATTTCCACGGTTAACTCTGAATTTTCGATAATTGCAAAAATTTGAATTTTTTACGTCACTTCATACAACTACAAAACTAAATGTAGAGACTGTTCCTTCAAATAAAATTAGTTCCTCATATTGAGTTCTTTCATTCAGGTCATGCAGATTTTTTTGAAAATTTTAGTACGTTTCGCGCAACATTGCGTACATGTGTAATTTACAAAAATTTAAAAACAAGATTTTTTCAAAAACACTACAAAGTTTTTCTTTAAACTTATAGTAGGAATAACGCTAAATGTACTCTTCAAGTTGGCATAGATGCCATATTTCTCTATTCTTTTGTTTTTGGAAAAATAAAAAAAGGAATTCTTTTGACATGTCTCTCACGTCGATAATATTTCCAGAAGCCTTGATTTGTTCACATTATTATATTTATGAATACATATGCTTAAAATTATGTCATATAAAGTTTTTCGGAAACTAAAACTTTTTCTGTGAAAACTAACTCAAAATTCTGAATTTTCAGAAACGCTTAAACACCATCTTTTCAAAAACGACTCCAATTTTTTTTTTCAAATTTTTCGAATATATTGTGCTAATTTCTCTCTTTAGTATGACGTAAAGTTAATTACGATGACTTTTTTTTCTTTTCTCAAAAATTACACTAATACATTATTTTTGAAAGATCTCTCATGGTTTTAGTACGAACATTTCCACCGATTTGTAAACATTATTGCATTTGTGACTGAAAGGCCTTGAAATGTCTTTATATGAAGTTTTTCGGCAACTTAATCGTTTTCTGTGAAAAGTGGATCAAATTTTGCATTTACTACAGCACACTAGTTTTTTTAAACGTTTTCAATTTTTTCAAAGAAAATTACCATTTAGGACGAGATTATTTAATAATCTTAAAATAATATATCAATTAGGAAACAGAAAAATTAAGAAAATATCAAAAAAAGTACTTTGGTTGGACCGAGACCAAAGGAAATAGAAAACTATACCATTCTGAAAGTCTGTGCCACTCTGTACCACCGTTCGGTTGCTGGTATAATTTGAGTTTATCTCTAATGGACATCACGTCTAAGAACAAGTTGTTCGAAGACATCTGCGAACAATTTATATTTTATTTTATTCGCAGCAGTGTTCACCATCTTTGTAAATTCTTTGTTGTGCTCTTGTGCTCTAGCAACAGGAGACTGTAACTTTCTTTCTTCTTGAAGTCATATTTTCCTATTTCTTTTGCAGTAGTGACACTTGGACACTTTGTAGCTAACAGATTCCCCTATTTTACAGCATTCCATTCCTCAAAACGCACTGTGAGTAAATTTCCGGCTCATTGGCGCAGGGGCTTGGAGCATTGCGTCAAGGCCAAAGGATTTGAATTCCTCCTAAGACTTGGATGTATTCAATTGTGTTAGGTCATGGTGTGCCAATTCACAACACCACGCATAATCACTGAACGCTAAATCCTGCCGTAATTCCCATCTCTACCCTAGAAAAGTTCTGTCAGAATAGTTGATTAAGTGCAATGGGTGACTGCGGCCTTCGCAATCATGTTGCAGCTTAGCTTCGTATTCCTGAAAACGGTCTAAGCACGACGCCATACGACGCGCTTGGTTCCGGAACTACATACTACATAGGCATGAATTCACGGGCCTCAACGGCGTGATGTTTGGAAAAGGAAGGGACTAAATCTGAATACGTAGTGAATAAGTAGTTAAGTGCAATTTTGCTACTTCTCATGGCATGATTTTTAACTGATCTCATTACTTATGTCAATTATTTTGGTTTTGTTATGGTGAGAAGTCTAACATGGTAGTCCATTTTAGAAAATTTCATCGATTAATTACATTTTCACGTTTTGACAAACAGTGCAAAGTAGAAAAATCCTGCCTGAAAATGAGGGAAATTATTAAACTCGTATTCATTCCGCATTCAGAATCAATCCAGTTATTCGGTGTTTCACCCAGGGTAATGACGTCCACATACACTGAAATGTGTAATTGGACGAACATAGGTAATAATTAACCCAGAAAAATGTTGTATTTACATTACGTCTAAGAAAAATTTATTGAAGCATATTTTTATTAACATCTCAACATTTTCTTTCCACACTCCCACTTTTGCACATCCATTATTCTATTGAAATATTGTATCAATTCACAATAATAATTAGCACGTATTGAGACTTCAAAAATATAATTTTATTTTTCTTCATAAACTCTCAGATGAATGAATAATGTATTAAATAGTTAATCATATAATATAATATAATTTAAGGATATAATAAAGTATTATTTCGACAAACTAATGAATCAAACAATAACTGCAGAATTATGAACAAAAAACGTCATAATAATATTTCTTTATGTTTCAAAAAGCTTTTTATGGCAATGCAAGAAATTTCGACTATTTATTATAATAGTCTCACAAAATTATTAATATACGTCACACACAATATTCTCATAAAATTATTAATATACGCCACTATTAGCTGTTTAAATAATAATTCGTTTAGAAATCTAAAAATGTATCATTTATTGGCCGCTTACTGTTCAAGCTTTGGGGAATTATCAAACAAGAACATCTCGAGAAACTGCGTTGGGTAACAAAACGTTTTTTCTTAGCCAACAATGGCGTCTTTCAAGGGCACTAAAACCTTTGTTTATCTCTTGGTGCAGTGCAAAACTGATTGTTTACTCACTCTGAATAACTCAGCTGGTAAATAAAAATTCATATCTATACAAATTTTAATCACTTCATACAAATTTGTATTCAAGTATTATTTTCTGCACTCGTGCATGGAAACTACTGGCTTGTCTTGCTTGTATTTTCTGATGGAAAGTGTTAATTTGCTTAAGAACGCTTATGGTAAAGTCGACAATGTTTCACGATAAAACACTTCAGAAATATTCTCAAATGCCAAGTGAGCAATTCTACTAAGAACGTAATGCCGGAAAACCCGAGTCCTACAAACAATACAAAAAAAGAGGCTGAAAAGTGATCCATAGTCATTGCAACTGGTTTAGGTTCCTCTGAGGTTTTCGGAATCAAGGTGCCTTGGGCAGTTAGCTGACTTTGTTCAATAATATCCCGGCGAGTATACAGACCACTTTCTAAAACTCTCATTAAAAACCGATTCAAAACGTCATATTCCGGAATATTCTTAGTCACAGGAAACCCGACATTTCCAGGTGTTGCGATACATTCTGGAACTTCGTACAGCAAAGGTTTACCACCGAGGCTCATGTTCTTATACATCACATACTTCATGAAGCGATCTGTCGAAATAAGAAACGCATCTTGTTTAGAGTGAGCTACGTGATGTAGCCGAATCAGAAGTTCTTTATCAATTACAAACTTGCCAATGAAACTTGTAAGTGCATCAGAAGCATCCATCTTTTTCATTACCTCGCGGTAATCTATATCAGAGTACAGATAACGCACGACCCTGTCGGCTTCGTCTAATGTGCGTGGGTTGTCGTAATGAGGTGGGGAAGCGAAGAATCCGAGAAGTTGCCCCGTGTAAGCGTTGGCTAGCACCATTACTCCCAGAAGAAGAACTGCAAGAAACAGGCGTTCGGACGAGGAGACAGCTTGAGTGTTGCATGCGCCAGTTAAACAGACCTGAAATGTAATTGCGATTACATTACAAGCAAAATTGGCTTAATAAAAACATCATTACGTGATAAGTTTTATCCTCAATAGTTTGTGTGCGCTTAAGAATGTGAAGCCAGGTGTGTGTTTATAAGTACGAATGTAAAATGTATGCTTATAAACATGCATTCTGTTACTGGCCAACATGAGCCAAATGAATGAAGAATGAAGTATCCATCTGTCAAAACGTAGATGCATAATTTCAGGATCGATGATTGCGATATCGAATTTATCGATATTGACTCATTATCATCAGTATTCCTATATAGTGCAATTGCTATTTACTGTTGTTGTGAATAAACGTTTATTTCTGCTAACACTTCAGTGCTTGTGTGGAGCATACTGGGCTTCACTCGTGTGTTTTAATTGGATAGCTGACAATTGGGAAAAAATCATAAACGTGACTGTTTGTCTAACTTTGACCTATTCTCTCCTGAATTCTTCAATCCATTATCTATGTTCCTTACATTTTTTCGGGAATATTTACTTTGTTTTCCTACACTATTCAATCACCCAGTGTGATTATCTATCTTACGGTTTTTCAAAGCATTGAAGGGAATTTATAGAACATTTACGTAAATTATGCATTACCGTGTAGTTATTGTTTGATCATTTCTTCCTTTTCTAAGCTAAAAGTTTTTAAAGTATTACTGATTGGGTACATTTTGTCCCAATTTTATTCAAAATAACTACCTTTTTGTAATATTTTTATTAATGTTAAGATTACGATTGTATTGATTCAGGAAATATTTGTTCCTATTTTCAGGTAATTAATGTATTTTTTGAGATTTAGTAAATACATGGAAATTACATAAATATATATCAAAAAGTCCCATTTACATATTACATCTACATTCTGCCTCTTTGTCAAAGCATATGAACTTCCCTAAGCTCACAAAAATGGCAACAATTTGCGTCTGATTGGTCTTCAGACTCTTCCCCTTTGAACAATTTCATTAAGTTTATCCATTATACGGGGAATATTTTCTACATCTTTAACTCTCCCAACTACTCAGCAAAAAAAAAGACCTCGAAAACATAAAGCAAAGAAAGATGTAGCAATCATAATGCATATCAAATATGTAAATAATATAATTAAACATGACTGCTTCTCCAAAGGAATTATATCTGTGAAATTGGAAAATAAATATAAATTATTCAACATTATATTCGTATACGCGCTAGAAAATAATAAACCATCCCTCGAAAAACAAAAATTCTATGATGACCTCCAAGAAACGATCAGCCAAATCGATTCTGAGGAACCGGTAATAATAGCGGGTACTACTAATGCTAGAGTAGGAAATCACATCATCCCGGGAATTAAGAACAGTGAACACAATGAACATGATCTGAATGAAAATGGAGTAACTCTTATAGATTTTTGCGTTGAAAACAAAATAAGAGTAAACAATACTTTTCTTTGATCATAAAGAACAGCATAAAACTACAAGAGGACAAAAATCCACCATTGATTTTATACTTACTAACCATGAAATTCACCCATCCTATATACTAGATGTAAGGCGCCTATCAGGAGGGGATATTGGCAGTGATCATAACCTGGTATTAATAAAACTACGAATGTTCATTATGAAGAAAAATATTGCAGAAGAAAAACCGGAACACATACAAAAGATAAACATTGAAGCAATATGTGATGAATCTACCAGATATCTATCTAAAAGCAGACTGAATGACAAAATATCTCACATTTCAATCTTAGATAATGAGAGCGAAGAAATGTCATGGCATAAAATAAAAACAAATATTATTCATGCATAATATTAAAGAGGCCGCAGGAATAATAGAAACAAATGCAAAAACGAAAGAAACACCTTGGTTTACTAAAGAAGCATAAAAGAAAAGAGAGGCATATATAAACTTCAACCAGAATAAAATGCCAGAAACACATCAAGAATATAAAAATATCAGAAAAAAAGTTAATGCAAGTATTAGAGAAATAAAGAAAGATACTGGGTCTCCTTCACCATGCGACGTCAACATGCTTTCTAAGGGCTACAAAAAGATATCTGAAGATTCATTAGAGGCCAGAGGACAGAAATAACTTAATTTATTAGCACATGTTAAGTATCTGATGAAACATGGATAAAATAATTTAGAGAACTACTTCACGATGACACACCGGAGATAATATACTTGGTTGAAGATTTTACATCCAAGGAACAGTGCGTAAAATGTGAAAAATTATCAAAAGTAATCCGAACACTAAGAAATAGGAGGTTACCTGGAGAAGAAGAAATACATAATGAACTCAATAAATATGGAGGAAAAACCTTATGCATAGAGATAACCAAACTTATTAATAAAATTTTAAATGAGGCAACAGTACCAAAGAAATGAAAATCAAGCATTCTTATCCCTCTATTTAAGAAAGGAGTAAAACACGATCTAGATAAATACAGAGGGATAAACCTCCTAAGCAGCTCATTGAAAATCATCACGAAATGTATAGCAAACACGCTCGTGACTATGAAAGAATAACAACAGGGTTTTAAACGCAGTAGATCATGCACTGATGCACTTTTTATCATCCGACAAATCGTGAAAAAAGCTCTAGAACTTAATAAGCCAGCTTTTTTATGCTTTGAGGACCTAGCACAGCATTTGACAATATAAAACTAATTGATGTCATAAGAATACTGAAACAAAAAAATATGCCCTCTAACCTTTTAAAACTAATAATCGATATACATAGAAAAAACAAAATAAAGATTAAAAACCAGGAGAAAATATTACCTGCTATATCTGCATCGAAAGGAATAAGACAAGGGGATTCATTGAGCCCATTGTTATTTAGTGTAATAATGAATAATATTATAAAAAAGCTAAAAACAAGAAAATGATATAGTATGTGAAAATATAATATAAATATCATGTGTTACGCAGACGACACATTGTTATTACCAGAAAATGAAGATGACTTACAACGATTACTGTAGGAGTTCAGTAAACTTTGTAGGAATTTTAATTTACAAATATCTACCCAGAAGACGAAAGCTATGACAATGCCAAAAATTAGATTAAGTGTAAATTGGTAGTGAATAATCAAATAAGAGAACATGTTCTAAATGTGGTGTATTTGGGAATAACTTTAACAAGCTCAGGACAAACGGAGAAAGAAACAAAAGAACAAATAATAAAGGGTAATAGGATCGCTGGCTTCGATGTCTCCACTACTCGATATGGTATAATAAACATCTAAAACAGGAACTGAAAGTTAGAATACTAAAATCAATAAGTAGACCAATATTAACATATACAAGAGAAACAAGAAATGAAACGAAACATACCCTACAACAACTTGAGGTCGCCGAAATGAGAGTTCTGAGAAAAATTACAAACCACACTCTATTGGATAAGGAAAGAAACAGAAACATCAGGAAAGAGTGCAAAGTTAAGCCCGGCAGGCCGAAAAAAGGAATGGAATGATCATATTGAGAGAATGGAAGAGAAAAGAATCGTGAGGATTAAAGGCCGAGGGGAAGATGACCAAAGAGAAGATGGAAAGACTCGTTATAATTTTTGGAAAGGAAAATGTTTTAGACTTTTTAAGAAGATGATGATGATGATGAAGATGATGAAGAAGAAGAAAAAGAAGAAGAAAAAGAAGAAGAAGAAGAAAAAGAAGAAGAAGAAGAAAAAGAAGAAGAAGAAGAAGAAAAAGAAGAAGAAGAAGAAGTTAGGATTTCCGGGGAACATTAAAAAAATTCTCCCGCTCCCAAAATTTACGACGATAACTGGAGAATCACATGGACATCCCATCGCCGGCATCCGAAGAGAAGACATCTCGAAAACCGGCCTGGAAGATATTTGCTTAAGTTTACGAACATTTAACACAAGAAATACCGTACGAAATTTGTGACTATAGAAATTTATGATAAATCCTTAGTGAGCACAATAAGTTCAATAGTAAACCAAATGTAAATCTGCAGAATAAAGGTCAATTCGTAGCTATCAAACTGGTATGGTCGTAACAAACAAGTAAAATGGCCGATGGTATAATATGTAGCATCTGAGTGGTTTTGGTAGCATCCACACCAAATAACTTGTGTAAGAATGATGATTCTTTGACAATGTCTTTTCGAAAATGTTTCTTGCCGGCCACACTTTTGTACGTTTCTCAGTCAGCTATAGTCACATTTTGTACCAATATTTTTACTTTTTTTTAACATATTTTAGATTTCCTGAAGAAGACACCAATCCGTAAGGTCGTAACATTGTGTAGTTCAAGAATTTTGTAAATATGAATGTTATCTCTGATACATTTGGCCTTAAAATTATTTAAAAAATATAAATATTTATTTATTATTTTTAAATGCAAGTTTTACTTGAACATAACAGACTCTTCAAATCCCAAATCCTTTAACGCGGCACAGTATTTTCAAATAGTTTGTTCTACATTGTAAAAATAGTTGTAGCCACGATAGAGTTAAAAATGTCTTCTGTAAAGAGCTACCGGTATAGGTTTTCTAATAATTTTGAAGTATTTAATACATTAAATATGTAAAAACAAACCGCTAAATATTTTTTAACTCTTAATAAAAGATTAAAGGGCAAATAGATGAACTGCCATAACTGCAAACTAAAATCGTCAATAACTTAAAAAAATATGGTGTGAGTACATATCATACCTACTCAGTAAACGAGTTAATAATTAACCTTCATTTTTAAGATCATAAGATCAAAAAAAATATCCGTATTCTATGGAAATACTGAGGAATTCATCGTTTGAAGTGTATGTACTAAAAAGTGGAATGTATAAAACTCAGAAAAATGTAGTGAGGTATGATGTTAAAGGTTTAGAGAGAGAAGAGAGGATAAGATAGTTGTTATTGAAGTTCCTCTGAACTATCTAAGCGAACACATCGTGTTTTGTTCTAATCATTCCAAACACATATTTGAAAGATCAAAAAGCGAACAATTGATAAATTATTGTGATTGCAAGC